CCTGAACACCTGAAGAACCTGCCGTCAGTACTCATCAATACGCTGGTCGGCTCTTCACATGCTACCTGCCTGAATGCAAGGTTCCATCCCGATGGAAAACCAGCAGGACTGTACTATTGTACAAGTGAGACATCCACGACATTGGCAACTATCACCCGATCTGCCTATTGTCTGTCATCTACAAGTTGTTCACTCGAGTCATCCTGAATAGGATTGGCAGAACACTAGATGAAGGACAACCATGCAATCAAGCCAGGTTCTGCAAAGGATTCAGTACAATCAACCATATCCACACGATAACCAAGCACACTGAGGTTTCTCGGGAGTTCAAGATGCCACCCTGTCTAACATTCACTGATTTAAAGGCCTTTGATTCTGTTGAGAATGAAGCAGTCATTAAAGCCCTAGCCAAACAGGGCATTCAAACTCAATACATCAGGATCCTCTGTGAGCTGTATTACAGATTCGCTACCCTACCAGAATCTCACCATTCTACAAAGAAGCGATCATCTATGTCAAGAGGGGTGTTTGGCAGGGCGATACCATTTCACCAAAACTCTTCAGTGCCACCATCGAGAACATCATGCAGTGACTGGAATGGAAAGGAATGGGAGTGAAGATAGATGGTCAGCAACTATACCACCTCTGCTTTGCTGATGACATCGTTCTAATAACACCAAACATTAGTCACGTGGCACAAATGCTGGCCGATTTCGACCATGAGTGTGAAAAGGTCAGACTCCAGCTAAATCTCATGAAGACAATGTTTATGAGAAACAGTCTCATTCCTGATGTTCCATTCACTCTCAACGGGACGAATATCTCCAAAGGCAACAGTTATGTGTACCTAGGTCGGGAAGTCAACATGATGAATGACCTGGCACCTGAGTTGTGCAGGAGGGAGAGAGCGGGTTTGAACACCTTCAAGAGCGTCAAAGAAAAAGCTAAGAGGAGGAAGAACCTCTGGCTCCGGGCATGTGCCCGGGATGTCTTCGATTCCACTGTTCTTCCTGCATTAACATACACCTCAGAGACCTGGGATCTACGAAAACAGGATGAGAACACTATTTGGGTCTCCCAAAGAGAAATCGAAAGAGCTATGCGCAGAGTATGACACTTCACTCAAATGAGAGAAATAATCCGGAGTTCCGAGCTCCATGAACAGTCAAGAATCAGGGACGCTGTCTCGTTTGCCAAGGCGTTGAAAATCAGATGGGCTGGACATAATGCGATTTGGAGATGACCACTGGACCAGAGCCATTACCGACTGAAGTCCATGGGACATCAAAAGATCGTGTGGCCGCCCACCTACGAGATACTCAGACTTCTTCATCAAGACCCTGAATGATTGGTTTGAGGCTCTTTGTGTTCCTGGAGCAAACAGACACCATTGGGCTACACTAGCACGTGAGAGCAATGAGTGGAGACATTACTGGCGCTCTCTTGAGCAAATCTATGAGTAACGGGATGTCAAGTGATCAAGTGAATAGTAATATCCACTTTTCCAGTTTGATCCCGACATTGTATATGCTCCCCTTTGCATAGACCAGAATGTTCCCGAGCACAGAACCAGGAGTAAGCTCTGCATCCTGGAAGATAATCTCCCTTACCAAAAGAGAGAGAGACAGAGACACACACACAGAGACACAGAAAGAGAGAAGGCGGGGGAGAGAGAGACTGATAGGGGGGAGCTAGATATTTGAGTATTTGCAGAGAAACTAACTGGAATAACATTTACAACTATCTTTAAAACACTTTAAAGGGCCAGAGAACAGTACAGCTGGCTGTCAGGACCCTTGCCTTGCATGAAGGCAACCCATGATTGATCCCAGCATCCTTTTTGCCTCCCCCTTCCCACCCTGAGCAACACCATGTAATTTCTGAGAGCAGAACCTGGAGTAACCCAGAGCATTGCTAGATGTGGCCCCAAAGCAAAATAAAACAAAAACACCAAATGGAAAAAAAACAAGTAAATATGTTATCTATTTAATAGAGATTAAGGCATTTAGCTTCTACAAGTCTTTACTTCTATGTATTTTTTAAATTTCCATGCAAGATTTTGAAAAAGTTTTCATTTAGATTTTACAATTTTTTTCTTAAAGCGGATTGAAAAAGTAATTTTTCAATTTTCCTCCCATTCTTGTTGCTGTTACTTAAATCTCCAGGGGTTCAAAAAGCTGTTGTAGAGCTTGTGCTCTGAAATTTGGCTGCAGTGTACACGAGTAGCACCAAACTTGGTTGCACACACTTCCTCATAGTGAGCTGTCCAAGACAAACAGCAGTGTACATTATATCACTCATAATGTGCGGCAATGCCAGGAATAAATTCATAGCATTATCCAAGCAAACTTCTATCACGGAACCACATTCTTGAGCCCTTGAAAAGATGTTTTCTTTTAAATTTTAATCAAACTTCAACTATTAGTCATAAATTTAAATAGACATCAGTCTATTTAAATAAGTTATGTCAACTTTCAGATAGCCTTATCTTTAATATATTTTGTAGTAAAACTGCCACAAATTGTTTACAAATTGCCATAGTCTGAATATTTGGAGTAGAAATTATTACCTCAAAATTTATGTTTCAGGGATGAAAAGACACCCCAGGGAATAAGGAGCTTGCTTTGCATCCCCCCAAGTCCAGTATAAATCTTTGGCACAACATATGGTCTAAGGAGCACTATAGGGATCACTCTGAGCAGTGTCACGAAAAGTTTCAGGATACTGAATTTGGCTATAATTCTTATATGAATCCAAAAATATATATAAAATAAATATCTTTTGATCATTAGGTATAAACTTTTACTATGCTGTTCAATTTGGTTTGCTAGGCTCTGTTGAGGATTCATGCCTAAATATATCATGGATATTGGTCTATAGCTTTCTTTTTTTTTTCCAGTTAGGCATTTCATTTAATAGAAATGGTGATAAAAATTTAAAGTAGATATGTTTCAAATTTGAAGGCTAGAGGTTGGGCATAATTTTCTTTTGTGAAGAAATTCTTCCTCTTCTCTCCTCTATGCCACTGGAGACAGAAAGTAAGCATCTAAGTGGAGAGGCACAAACAAAATTTTAGCAACAAAAATCTTATCTCATTAGTTTCCTGTTTTTAAAGTTTTGTTGTTATTTCAAGTTTCAGTTTTATTTTTTATTTTACACACCATGATTTACAATATTGTAAATATGAAGGCTTCATGCACACAAGCTTCCAAGACCATACCTTCCATCCACTTTAACCCACTCCTGTTCCTCCCACAAGCACAATCTCTAGACCAGTTATCAAGTTCTGTTGCCTTTAGCCCTCTGTTCTCTTATGTCTTTACATCCACATATGAGAGACCATTCTGTATCTATCCTTCTAAGAAGTCATTTTACTCAGCATGATACTTTCCAGATCCATCCACGTTATGTTTTGTTTTATTGCATAAAGATCTGACTTTGCTGTAAGGGTAATGAAAACTTAAGAGAATGAGTTCAGAGGTGCTACCTCCTTTAACTTTCTGAAACACTGTAATATTAAACCCCAAAGTATTTCTATTTATTACTTTCATTCACTTGAAGATAATGCTTGCTTTATTCAGAAACTGATAATTGTGCATATTTCAGTCCTGTATAATTAGTGAACTGATCTTTTATAATTATGTAATGACCTGCTTTGTCTCTTTTAATAGTTACTGACTCATTTTGCCAGATAGTTTTTCTCAACTATCCCTACACTCTTTCATCTAGCATCTACATGGAGTATCTTCTATTCTTTTTACTTTCACCCTGTGTGTATCTGCAGAGTCTTTGGCAGAAAACAAACAGCTTAATTTGTTCAAAAGTGGAGTAGATCCTCTCAAGGAATACTGGGTGGCCCCAGAGCCTCTCCTGGAGATTTTAAATCAGTCAACTGAGTCAAATTCTAGATCCTAAGGATGCTTTGCATCTCAGGCCCCATGGAACTGGGGGGAAAAGTACTCAGAAATAGTAAGAGGGCCACAATGTACCTGGGATCAAATGGGGGTGGGCACATGCAATGCATATGTCCAAACTGCTACATTATCTCCTCTATCCTGACCTCCCCATGTCACTTTTAAAAAAATCTATTCAGCTAATTTTAGTACTTTTAAATAGAGAGTTTAAATTTTAGTACTTTTAACTGGGGAGTTTAATTTGCTATACTTACATAATACAAATAGGAAATGACCTCACTTCCTTCTTATTTCTTCCTTCCTTTATTCCTCTTAGTGCCTTCCCACATTTACATCTCACTGATGTAAATAACTTTCTAAAATAAATTTTCTAAAACTAACCTTTGAAATATGCTGGCTAATAACCATAAAATCATTTATGAAAATATTAGACAAAAATAAATGATAACTACTCTTCAAAGTTTTAATATATTTCCTATGAAATACAGCTTAAATCTCTAATGATCATATATTCCAACTAATGTTTATAATTTAAATTATCATTTCTCTTGGTTAAGAAGCTTCTTTAAAATAAAACTACTCACCTCTTCATGATAAAAACAAAATAAAAATAATTAACTGGGATTAGTTTCCTATAATTTTACAAAGATTTTTACATATTTCTTTTCTTTTTTGTTTTGCTTTTTGGGTCACACCCAGAGTTGCACAGAGGTTACTCCTGGTTCATGTTCTCAGGAATTACTCCTGGCGGTACTCACGGGACCATATGGGAAGCTGGGAATCGAACCCGGCTTTATTTTTTTTCCCAGCATATTTCATTTCATTTTCCTAACTCTAATAGTTTTTTGCCTTCTTTGAAGTAGTTTTTTAATTTCTGGCCTCTATTAAAAAATAAATTTCTATTTTATTAAAAAAGTAAACATAAATTGATTTTAACTGAGTATGTAACGAAAGTTCTAGAACTACCATAGAGTCAATTTTCTGTCAAAAATATTTTCAATATTTTCTCTTGGTAAAATCTGCAAAAAGTTCTGTACTTAAAACTTTTCTTCTCTACTGTATAATAATTTCAAATTGAAAACAAACCTTTACACACTTTTCTTGAATACCAGTTTTCTGAGAAGCAAATTTGAGCAGTGGTTTTTCACCATCCAATCCAGATTCTTCATTTTTCTGTTTGCTAAGATGATGATCTGAAATCCAGTCCATGAAGACTGTTAAGAGTTCATAAACTTGGCCATTAAGCAGTACCTACATGTAAAAAATATTTGATCAAGCAATTCTTTCAGTTTCCAAATTATAAAACATCAAAGGCAAGCTTTAAATCTGGTAAGCAATTAAAATCTACCTAAATTCACTTCACTAAAATATGTACTAAATGACAATTCTTCAAATGATAGAAATTCCAAACTAAATATTTTTAGTAGGGCAATAGGCCCTACTAATAAGGATAAACTGTTATCAAAAGAATTTTAATTAAAATTCTTTAAATCTGTTAACAGAGAAAAAGCAAACAAAAAAAAACTGCCTTTAACACAAGAATATGAAACACATGGGGCAGAGAAAATACAGCAGAAAAGGCACTTGCCTTTCATGTGACAGGACCTGGGTTCTTTAATCTCCAGCACCACCCAGGGTCCTGGCAGAAGTAAGTCCTGAGTACCATCAGACAAAATCCAAGCAAAACAAAAACAAAGTATGAAGCACTGAAAGATAGTAAAAACTTATTTCAAAGGCTAAATAAATCCCACCACTGTATGAATAGTATTCTCTTCTTTCCCTGAACATTGTTTCTGTCCTTGTCATTGCATTATACTGTAGCACTGTCCTCCAGTTGATCATGTTGATCATCCGATTTGCTCAAGCAGGCAGCAGTAACATCTCCATTGTGAGACTTGTTGTTACTGTTTTTGGCATATTGAATACACCACGGGGAGCTTGCCAAATTCTGCTATGGGGGCAAGATACTCTCAGTAGCTTGCCGGGCTCTCCGAGAGAGGCAGATCCCTTGGTCGGCCACGTGCAAGGCAAACACCCTACCCATTGTGCTATAGCTCCAGCCCATTATATAATAGTATAATAGCATTATAATATCATAATAGTACAATAGCATATTATTCTCAAATAAGAAATGTACACATAAAAATATACATGTATATATATTTTCTTCCCTTAGAAATCCTGTTCTCTAAATCTACTGACATGGGAAGAAAAGATTCAGAATGAAATACTGCCAAAAAATTGCAAATCAAGACCATTTTTTTTCTTTTTGGGTCATACCCAGCGATGCACAGGGATTACTCCTGACTCTGCACTCAGGAATTACTCCTGGCGGTGCTCAGGGGGCCATATGGGATGCTGGGAATTGAACCTGGATAGGCCGCGTGCAAGGGAAACACCCTACCCGCTGTGCTATTGCTCCAGCCCTGCAAATCAAGACCATTTTTAAGTATTCCTTTAAGTCACTTTTATGTGCATTTAATCCAACATTTATCACATTAAACTTTAACCAAGAAAATATGTTAAATTTAATTAGTTTTTGAAAAATATGAAAAACCAGAAATATAAAAAGCTAGTATTAAGCATAAACACATTCACAAAAATAATCATGTAATTGAAAACAAAATGTTATACACTTCTTTTTTTTTTTGGTATTTGGGCAATACCTGGCAATGCTTAAGGACTATTTTCAGCTCCATGCTTGCAACCACTACTGATGCTGCCAGGGGGCCATGTGGTACTAGGAATCAAACCCAGGCTTCCTGTATGCAAAGCATGAACTCAACCTTTGGTCCAAACATGAATACTCCAAATGGTACTAGGAATCAAACCCAGGCTTCCTGTATGCAAAGCATGAACTCAACCTTTGGCCCAAACATGAACACTCCAAATACAAACTTTAGATGAAAACAATCATTTTTATATTTTAGTATAAAAATCTTTATTCCCAGGTTAACTTTTAGATTTCAGGGCCACATCCACCACTGCTGCTACTTCAGCAGATTTCAGGGGATCAAGAGGAGCCATCAAACCTGAGTCTCCAACAAGCAAAACATGCATTTGCACACTAGCCCATTGAGGAATCTTCTGAGCCTCCGACTGCTCTATTTATTGAGGTGGGGGGGTCCAACAGGCATTCCCTGCAGACTCTTCCTGGTTCCCTGCTCAAGGATTGCGCCCAGTGGTACAGGAAACCATGCCGTGCCAGGGGTCAAATCTAGGCTTCCACATTCAAAGCAGGAGCTCTAGCCCTCTGAGTAATTTCACCAATCCCTCAGTATATCTTTTATTTTGTTTCCCACATTTGATTTTAGGAGCACATCCAACAGAGCTCAAGGGCTACCCCAGACTTAGTGCTTGGGGGACCATATAATTAATGTGACAACTGAATCTAGGGTTCCCGCATATAAAGCACAACTTCAGTCCATCGAGTTGTCTCTCTGGACCCTATTTTTCTTTGTTTGTTTGGTTTGGTTTTCTGAGCCACACCGAGCATTGCTCAAGGCTCTATGCTCAGGGATCATTACTGGTGGGCTCACGAAAACATAAGGGTTACTGGGGAATCAAACCCAGGTGAGTCTCCTGCAAAATAAGTGCCATACCAGCAGTACTATGCTCTAGCCCTCTTTTAATTTTCCACCTTTGTTTCACCTAACATCACCTTAGACTCTGAAAGGTTTTGTGTTATGTGTGCGTGTGTATATCCATTTATAATTCACACACACACACACACACACACACACACACACACACACACACACCCCAAGAGTGCCTCTGTATTAATGCACTGCCCGACAAAGAGGAAAGTAAGCCAAACAGCGGTAGATCAGGGGCAGCCCTATTTGAAGAGGGAGAAACAGTGACCAAGTCAGTAGAGAAGGCAGGCCTTTAACAGAGTGTAGGTTGATCTTGCCATCTTGATGCAGTTTATCTACTGGACATGGATAGAGAAACTAAAGGCCTGGGCTAACACACTTATGTGGCTGTGGTCATTCTCCTTTACATGCTTCCACGTCCTGTTGACAAAACTTCTACGAGCCCATCAAGACTGCATGAAGTGCTCTAAGGATCTGCTCTCACACGGTAGATAATAGCGGGTGAGCGGCACAAGTCAACTCCCAGTCAGGTTCTCTGACACTGAAAGACATCAGCAGGTCAGCTACTGGGATATGTTCCTCTACCTGCTTGGTCAGGTCCATGAATATGTAAAAATCCTAATTTGTGAATACAGTAAAGAAAATTATAGGATCTGTGTGACTGTACGTAATTTACACATCAGAGTTTAAAAAATAACCGGATTAAAAATACGGTGGCTGGAGCGAATGAAGAGCATGTAAGGCCCTTTCCTTGCACTCAGCTGACCTGGGTTCAATCTCCAGCACCACATATGACCCCCCCCTCAAGCACCTCCAGGAGTAATTCCGGAGTACTGCCAGGTGTGACCCAAAACCTATTAAAAAAAATAATAAATTGGGCAGGTCGTCTGCCTTGCATGCAGGCAACCCAGGTTTGATCTCTTGAACCCCAAAGGTACCCCAAATACTCCACAAGTTATTCCTGAGCACAGAGCCAAGAGTAACAGCACAGCATCACCAAGTATGGTCGCCAAACCAAAGTAAAATTAAGAATAAGTAAAAAGAACTTATTTAGGGCCAGATGATAGCCTTGAGAGAAAAGAGTATTAAATAATTGTGGAAACTCGAAACATAGCAAAGAATAAAGCTGATATTACACTTAAATGTCTTATGATTTATCAATATAATGATTGAAATATTTTGGTCTTGCAAATAAAAGCATATTTGAAATATTCTAAAGATATTTATCTGTAAAAGAATTACAGTAAATCTTTTTGTAGCTGGAGCTGGAGCAATAGCACAGCGGGTAGGGCATTTGCCTTGCATGCAGCCAACCCGGGTTCGATTCCCAGCATCCCATATGGTCCCCTGAGCACTGCCAGGGGTGATTCCTGAGTGCAGAACCAGGAGTAACCTCTGTGCATCGCTGGGTGTGACCCAAAAAGAAAAAAAAAAAGAAATCTTTTTGTAGCAAAAAAAAATGTTGCCAAGGGCTAGGGAGGTGATGTAGGAGTGAAGGTGCAGGCCTCTCATGGACCAGCCCACTCCTGTCTCTGGCATTACAGTCTCCCAGGAATCCTCCCAGGAATCGCAAGGGAGACTCAGGTGGTTTCTGGGGACACAGGTTCCAGCATCACATCCCCAGGTCCTAGCACTGACCTGATGGCCAAGTACTGCTGGGAGTGGTCCCTGGGTCAACTGACACCACTTGGGAAACTCTACTCAACCTGAAAATAAAGAATATTTGCAAGAAAAAAAATTTTCTTTAAGATTTAAGAACAAGGGACGGGGAGGGGTGGGGGGTGGGGTTTTATTGGGGTTCTTCATGGTAAAAAAATAAGTATTGGTAAAGGGAAATGTGTTTGATATTTGCATTACTGAGACATAAACCTGAAAGCTTTGTAACCTTTCCCACAGTGATTCAATAAATAAATAAAAAAATAAAAATAAAAAAAATAAAAATAAATAAAAAAAAAAAAGATTTAAGAACAAAGATAAATTTTTGATAACATACCTTATTACTTTTTGAAACTGGCACTTTTTCTTGTTTCAAACTTTTAATTTCATGAGCAGCATGAGAATTTCCTTTCAAGCGCTGTACTGTCATAAATTCATACTTCCTCTGCTCAAAAAAAAAGATACATGTCTATAAATCAAAATCAATTACAGGTCAAGGGCCATATAGAGCTGAGGCATGGTGGCATTATAGTAAATGGATAGGGTGTTTGCCTTGCAAACAGCTGCCAATCCAAATTAGATCCTCACAACATACGGTCCCCAACTTGCCAGAAGTGATTCCTCAGTGCAGAGGGAGGAGCAAGCCCTGAGCATAGCCACATGTGTCCCCATTCTAATAACATCTTTATTATAATTGCCAAATACTGAAAACAACATGAATGCCCTCCAAAGAGTGAGACTATCAATCAGCAGTGTAGCACTCTAGCACTGTCCTCCCACTGTTAATCGATTTGCTCAAGCGGGCACCAGTAACATCTCCATTGTGAGACTTGCTACTGCTTTTGGCATACTGTTTTTGGGAGCTTGCCAGGCTCTGCCATGCAGGCAAGATACTCTCGATAGCTTGCCGGGCTCTCCAAAAGGGACAAAGGAATCAAACCCGGGTTGGCCCCGTGCAAGGCAAATGCCCTACCTGCACTCCCCTGCTAGAACCTCCAAACCAGCATCACTCAGCAACACAAAAAAACTACTGAAATGTACAACAACATGTGTCAATCTCTAAGGCATGTGGCTGAGTTAAAAAATAAAATCCTAGGCACTGGAGAGATAATGTAAGGGTTAAGGCACATGGTCAAGCCTAGAACCATGATACAATTCCTGACCACTTACAGTTCCCTAAGTACTGCCAGGAGTAAGCCTTGAGACAGCTGAATATGGCCCAAAAACCAAAACAAAACAAAATAAAAATCCCACTTATATAGAGTGTGACTGAACTGACATAACCCTGAAATGACAAAACTACATATATGGAGCAAATTAGGTGTTTCAGAACTTAAGGGATGTAAATAAGAAATGGATATGGCAAAGGGTTAAATTATGGATCCCTGTGAGGATGGAAATGTTCTGTGCCCTAAGTATGTTGATAACTGCCAAAGGCAATCATTTGAAAATTCATTTAAGGAGTTGTCCCCCACGAGCGGCTCTCCGGCATGGCCATGGCTCCAGAGGCAAAAGGACTTAATCCAGAGCCTGGCAGCTTGCGGCAGAAAAGTGAACGGACTATGCATTAAACTACAGCACCATGCCTCCCCGGGAGGGAAAGGGTTTTGCTCCCTTCCAACTTCCCCCACTCCCTCAAGCACCCTCACTCCCCACCCGGCAGAAAGGTGACCACCGCCTCAGAGCTTATTGGAAAGCCAGATAAGAACCAGCGGTGATGGGGCAACTGCAGTCTCATGGGAAGGGGGCGGTTCCGGCTTGTCCTTCACGCCCTACCGAGGTCACGAGTTGCCCCTCATGAGCGGCTCTCTGGCACAGTCATAACACCAGACGCACAGAAAGCAATCTCGTAATTCTCTGGCTTTTGGCAGAAATCCCTCCAGACTTACCTAGTAAAATATCAGAAATCTAAAATATGGTTCTCATAACCAGCTATAAAAAAACAAATTATTTTACAATGCCTTTTCAGCAATTCTGATTGTTGGGGGGAAATTCTAAACAATAATGGTGCATCTTTTGTGAAGATAATGAATGTAATCAAAGTAGAGAGAGAGTTAAGTAGAAATCATCTGCCTCACAGGGAGGAGTGGGAAGGGGGATACATTGGGGTACTTGGTGGTGAAAAATAAGTACTGGTGAAGGGAAAGGTGTTTGATCATTGTATGACTGAGACTTTATCTTGAAAGCTTTGTAACCTTTCCCACAGTGATTCAATAAATAAATATAACCAAAATAAATAAATAAATAAATAAAAGGCAAGTAGTTAAAAATTTAAAAAAAAATTCATTTAAAATGCAGGAGGGCGGAAGTGCCGGCGGGTCTCGTGGTTGCGGAAGAAAAAAGAATTTCTGCTGTTGAAGTACAGCTCTGGGCAACCAAGCGAACGGCTCCTATTCCAACCAGGTACAGCCCGCCCCCAAGGGCCTGGGACCCTCTGTGCGCATGCCCAGCTAGCTCCACCTCCTAGAAAGCCGGTTTTACCCCTGGTCTACGTGGGACGGGCACGGAGGCCCAGCTCTGGGCAACCAAGCGAACGGCTCCTATTCCAACCAGGTACAGCCCGCCCCCAAGGGCCTGGGACCCTCTCTGCACATGCACAGCTAGCTCCATCTAAGTTCCCAACTCCTCGCTCAGTGCCAGGGACTTTTTCCGGAGCTGCGGCCGCTAATGCGGCCGCGAAATATTTTCCCACTTCATATGCCATAGGAACCACAAGCTACCTTCTTCGATGGAAACTTCTCTAGTTTAACTCAGTCACTAGAAACACAGTAGCCAATAACTCATAAGCCTATCTTAACTCACACTGCATATCAAGCAGAATAGTAACAGTGAATGTTAAGGACTAAACCACAGTTTTCACAATGGTAAAGCAACGCAAAAGCCCACCAAACTTTCTGGAAGAGTCTAGCCCAGATGACACCAACAGTACTGCAGTGTTAGACAACCTCTCTGACAAGGAATTCAGGAGGGAGCTACTTAGGATGCTTAGGGAACTAAAAGAAACAATGGAAAGCAATGCCAATAGAAGACAAGAGGATTTGAAGGCAGAAATGAGGAAAATGAAATCAGAAATGTCAGACCTGAAAAATCTCGTAGGCGAATTGAAAAACTCAGTGGAAGGCCTCAGCAGCAGAGTAACAGCTGCTGAGAACAGAATCAGTGAGCTCGGAGATGAAGTTCAGAGACTCTCCAGAAAAGAGCAGAAAATGGAAAAGAGACTCACAATTCGGGAACAGATGGCAAGAGAAGATCGTGATGAAGCCAAGAGGGGTAACATAAGAATTATTGGAGTCCCAGAGGTACAGGAAGAAAACCTTGATGAAGAAGAAACTGTCAAAGACATCATTCCTACAACGTTTCCAGAGCTGAAGAAAACTTGTGACCATATTCAGGAGGCCCGAAGGGTACCAGCCAGAAGAAATCCGAATAAAAATACCCCAAGACACATTCTGATCAAAATGACCAAAACCTTAGACAGAGACAAAATTCTGAAAGCAGTAAGATCGAAGAAAGAAATCTCTTACAAAGGAGCATCCTTAAAATTCACAGCTGATTTTTCTGATGAAACCCTTATGGCCCGAAAACAGTGGTGGGACATAGTGAAAAAACTCAATGAAATAAATGCCTCCCCAAAAATACTTTACCCAGCGAGACTCTCATTCATAATAGAAGGAACAACACACAGTTTCACAGACAAACAACAGCTCAGGAACTTCATAGACTCAAAACCGTGGTTACAAGAACAACTAAATGCTACTTTAAGGCAAGAAAGGCCCCTCAAATACACCAAATTTCAACAGAACAATGGGACAAAATCCTATAACAATAATCTCTCTCAATGTCAATGGGCTAAACACACCAATTAAAAGACATAGAGTGGCAGGATGGATTAGAAAATTGAACCCAACATTCTGCTGCCTGCAAGAAACACATCTCAATAGTCAAAGCAAACACAGACTCAGAGTCAAAGGCTGGAAAACAATCCTACAGGCAAACAGCTCCCAGAAAAAAGCTGGGGTAGTCATCCTAATATCAGACCACATCGATTTCAGAGTGAGGAAGGTCATAAGAGACAGTGAAGGTCATTTCTTATTGATCAAAGGATCATTACAACAGGAAGAACTTACAATAATAAATGTATATGCACCTAATGAGAGACCAGCAAAGTACTTAAAACAACTACTCATAGATTTGGAAAAAGACATCAATAGCAACACAATACTAGTGGGAGACTTCAACACTGCTTTGTCACCTCTTGATAGATCAACCAGACTCAAGCTTAGCAAGGACATACTTCATCTGTGGGAAACAATGGAAGAAAGGCACTTAGTAGATATATACAGGACACTTCATCCACAAAAAGCTGAATACACATTCTTCTCAAGTGTACATGGAACATTCTCCAAGATAGACCACATGCTGAGCCACAAAACATGCCTCCATAAAATTAAGAAGATAGAGACTGTATCAACAATCTTCTCAGACCATAATGCGCTGAAATTAGAAGTAAATCACATACAAAAACAGAAAACTAAATCAAACACCTGGAAATTAAACAGTGCTCTACTGAACAACGAGTGGCTTAGACAGGAAATCAAAGAGGAAATCAAAAGATTCCTAGAAACGAATGAAAATGAGGACACGAGTTACCAAAACTTATGGGACACAGCAAAAGCTGTGTTAAGAGGAAAGTTTATAGCTCTACAAGCATTCCTCAGGAAGGAGGAGCGAGCACACATAAGTAACCTAACCTCACAGCTTAAGAGCTTGGAGAAGGACCAAAAAAAGGAGCACAACCCGAACAGGAGAAAGGAAATAATAAAACTTAGAGCAGAGATTAACGAGATGGAAACCCAAAAAACAATCTGAAAGATCAATGAAACCAAGAGCTGGTTCTTCGAGAAAATTAACAAGATTGATAAGCCTCTAGCAAAACTCACAAAGAAAGGGAGAGAGAAAACCCTAATAAACCGAAACAGAAATGAAAAGGGGGTCATTACAACAGAAACTACAGAAATTCAAAGGATCCTCAGGGAGTACTTTGAGAAACTGTATGCCACGGAACATCAAAACCTCGAGGAAATGGATAAATTCCTAGACCCCTACAGACTCCCAAGGCTGAACCAAGAAGACCTGGAATACCTGAACAGACCTATCACCATCAAGGAAATTGAAATGGTAATAAAAAGTCTCCCCAAGCACAAAAGTCCTGGTCCGGATGGATTCACTAGTGAATTCTTCCAAATCTTTAAAGAGGACTTACTCCCAATGCTCTTTAAGCTTTTCCACAAAATTGAAATATCAAAAACACTTCCAAACAGTTTCTACGAAGCAAATATCACACTGATACCAAAAGCAGACAGAGATACCACAAAGAAAGAGAATTACAGACCGATATCCCTGATGAACACGGATGCAAAGATCCTCAACAAACTACTAGCAAATAGAATCCAACTACTCATCAAAAAGATCATACACCATGACCAAGTAGGATTCATCCCAGGGATGCAAGGATGGTTCAATATTCGGAAATCAATCAACATAATCCATCATATCAACAAAAGAAAAGATAAAAAGCCTATGATTATATCAATAGATGCAGAGAAAGCATTTGACAAGATCCAGCACCCCTTTATGATGAAAACCCTAGCCAAAATGGGTATAGAGGGAACCTTCCTCAACATAATTAAAGCCATCTACCACAAGCCTACAGCAAGCATCATCCTCAATGGGGAAAAACTGAGAGCCTTCCCCCTAAGGTCAGGGACGAGACAAGGATGCCCACTCTCTCCACTGCTGTTCAATATAGTACTGGAAGTACTTGCAATAGCGATTAGGCAAGAAAAAGATATTAAGGGCATTCAGGTAGGAAAGGAAGAAATCAAGCTCTCACTATTCGCAGATGATATGATACTATACTTAGAGAACCCAATAACCTCCACCAAAAAACTCCTAGAAACAATAGACTCGTATAGTAAAGTTGCAGGCTATAAAATCAATACCCAAAAGTCCATGGCATTCCTATACACAAACAGTGAGAGAGAAGAAAGCAACATGAAAAAAACAATCCCATTCACAATTGTGCCCCAGAAAATCAAGTACTTAGGAATCAGCTTAACTAAGGAAGTAAAGGACCTGTACAAAGAAAACTACAAAACGCTACTTCAGGAAATAAAAGAGGACATGAGGAAATGGAAAGATATCCCCTGCTCATGGGTCGGGAGACTTAACATTGTCAAAATGGCAACAGTATCAAAAGCATTGTATAAATTCAATGCAATGCCTATAAGGATACCCATGACATTCTTCAAAGAAATGGAGCAAACACTCCTGAAATTTATATGGAACAATAAGCCCCCACGAATAGCTAAAGCAATTCTTGGGAAAAAGAAAATGGGAGGAATCAACCTCCCAAACTTCAAACTGTACTACAAAGCAATAATAATTAAAACAGCATGGTACTGGAACAAAGGCAGAACTGCAGACCAATGGAACAGGGTTGAATACACTGACATCTCCCCTCAATCATATGATCATCTAATCTTTGATAAAGGTGCAAGTAATGTGAAGTGGAGTAAGGAAAGCCTCTTTAACAAATTGTGCTGGCATCACTGGACAGCTACATGCAAAAAAATGGGTTCAGAACTCTGCCTAACACCGTGTACAAAAGTAAGATCAAAATGGATTAAAGACCTCAACATCAGACCAGAAACCATAAGGTACATTGAAGACAAAGTTGGCAAAACCCTCCATGACATTGAAGCTAATGGTATCTTCAAAGATGCCACGCCACTGGCCGAGCAAGTGAAAACAGAGATAGATAAATGGGACTATCTTAAACTAAGAAGCTTCCGCACCTCCAAAGAAACGGTGACCAAAATACAAAGACAGTCTACAGAATGAGAAAGGATATTCGCCGAATACACATCTGACAAGGGGTTGATATCCAGGATATACAAAATACTGGTTAAACTCCACAAGAAAACATCCAACCCCATCCAAAAATGGGGCAATGAAATGAACAGAAACTTTCTCAAAGAAGAAATCCGAATGCCAAAAAAGCACATGAGAAAATGCTCTACATCATTAATCATCAGGGAGATGCAGATCAAAACCACAATGAGATACCATCTCACACCTCAGAGACTGGCCCACATTCAAAAGAACAAAAGCAACCGATGCTGGCGTGGATGTGGCGAGAAAGGGACACTCCTTCACTGTTGGTGGGAATGTCCACTGGTTCAGCCCTTCTGGAAAACAGTATGGACGATTCTCAAAAAATTAGAAATTGAGCTCCCATTTGACCCAGCAATACCACTCCTGGGAATATATCCCAGAGACGCAAAAATGTATAGTCGAAGTGACATCTGCACTTGTTTGTTCATTGCAGCACTCTTTACAATAGCCAGAAACTGGAAGAAACCTGAATGCCCAAGAACAGATGACTGGTTAAAGAAACTTTGGTACATCTACACAATGGAGTACTATGTAGCTGTTAGAAAAGATGAAGTCATGAAATTTACATACAAGTGGTACAACATGGAAAGTATCATGCTAAGCGAAATGAGTCAGAAAGAGAGGGATAGACATAGAAAGATTGCATTCATCTAGGGGATATAAAGTAACAAAATATGAGATTAATAACCAAGAATAGCTGAGATCAGCACCAGGAGAATTACTCCATAGCTTAGTGGCCAGTCGGGCATTCTAGAGGAAAGGGCAGCTCAGACAGAAAAGGGAACACCAAATAAAGGGTGTTTGGAGGACCCTCCCAGGAGGGGAGATGCATGTCGAAAGTGGACTATGGACTGAACATGTTTGCCACTCAATGCCTCTTTTGCAGACCACAACACCCAAAAGGAGAGAGAGAACACAGGAGATTGCCCTGCCACAGAGGCGGGGGGGATGGGGGGATGGGGGTGGGGGGGATATTATCCATGGTGGTGGAAAATGGGCACTGGTGCAGGGATGGGTATCTGATCATTGTATAATCAAACCCAAGCACAAAAAATTGTAAATCTACAACTGTACCTCATGGTGTTTCACTAATAAAAAAAAAAAGATGCAGGAGAAGATTGAGCAATTTACCTGTAAATTATCTAAACGAGCTTGAACTCTTTTAGCCTGTATCTCCATCCTCTTGTTTTCTTCACTTACTTCATTTAACTAAAATAAATTTGAAAAATCAGATACTTCAATATAAACAGTAAGCTATTTTCATACTAAAGGCTTCTCAAACAATCTATTAGCTTATCTATTTAGTCTGCATAACTAAATGTGTAGCAAAACAGAGGTAGATAACATTAATGACTAAAGAAGCTAAAAGGGTCAGTGAGGCAGTTTAAAGGACTCAAGTGCATCTTTGCATTTGGGAGCTCAGTGGCCAATGCATTTGGCATCTAACGACCACCAAGGAACCCAGCTGAGAGCAGTCCCCAGAACCCCAGGTGTGCTCCCTTACCCCAACCCCAAAAGTAACAAAACTAAAATCTTTTAAGTAAAAAAAAATCAGAGCTAAAATCCCCATTTGTCCCTAAAACATTAATAGTAGTTGGGAAAAGTTAATTATATCTATGAAAAATTTGTTATACTCCAAACATTTCAAAAGTATACATTTTATTTATTCAAATCTGGGTAGTCTTTGAGTGACACCCCGCAGAGCTCAGAGGCTACTCCTGTAAATACTCAGGAGACCAGGCAGTGCCCGGGGATCAAGTCTGTGCCTCCTGAATGCAAAGCATGCACTAAACCCTTGAGTTATCTCTGCAGCTCCATCAAAAGCATATGCTTTAATGAGAAGTATCTCTTAATTGAACTCTCCAAAAAATGTTATTTTTGAAACAGCATGATTTTGGTGTTAGTACACACCAATCACTAGCAAACTATCAAACACCTCACTTAAATTCCATCTGCCCTCTCCCTCTGCATCTCCCAACCCCCCTCCCTTTACCTAGGTTACTTCAGTTCTGTTGTCAAGTGTCCAAAGGTTTGTTTTAATTGAACTTTCTAGTAAATCATAATGCCTGTACCTAAAATGTATGTATTAGATACACTGCATAATGAATTATTACTTCTTCCTTTTATAAATAAATAGAAACTCAGTGATATCTGGGTACCTCAGTTCACTCCAAGTAATGCTCAGGCAACAGTGCAGATAATGTGTTATTTTCACTGTTCATATAATATTCATCTATTTTCCAAGTATCTCATAGATATGTCCTAGACTGAAACCTTCAAAGTGCTCAGTAGAATGAGTATAGCAGGTATATTGTGTTTATATAAGTGATCTGATATAGATCAAGCAGCTAATATTAAAGTACAATAAGGGGACAGGGAGATAACACACTGGAAAGGGCATTTGCCTTGTATACAGCCAACCTGGGTTCGCCCCCAAGCATCCCTGATCCTCCAAGCACCTCCAGGAGTAATTCCTGAGCATCAACAGGTAAGGCTCAAAATAAATACATCAATAAAGTAACAATAAGATTCTGAAGGGGAATCTCCCATGCAGTACTTGTTCAGGGATTCAGGGACCCAGGAACCAGTGATTCGATGTGCAAGCCTGAGTGGTAATGCTCAAACACTGTGGTGCCAATAATTACCTGGGTCACTCAAGTGGTGTTTGGGGTCCTTCAAGGACACAACTCACCAGTGCTCAGGGGCGACTAAAATACCTGGTGATGGGGGGGGGGGGGGCATGTGGCGCTAAGAATCAAGAACAAGCCAACTATATGCATATAGTTCCTTATATGTGTATAGTTGACTTATGGTGCTAACGTTCTTTATATGCATATAGTTGACTTAAAAGCTACACCTGGCAATGCTGGAGGGAACATGTAGTGCCAAGGACCAAGGACAAGTCAACTATATGGAAAGTGTGCTCTCTTCAGCAGCGCATATACCAAAAAATCTATATGCAAAATATGTACCTTAATCCTACACTCTCTCCAACCCTTATAATAAAAGGTATTAAATCAAGAAATTTCCTGGGCTATCAAATTTTCTTTTCTGCATCACTTTTAATATAGTAATACTCATACATAACAAATTTCAGATCACAAAAATCAATAGCTAAAACAGTGGATGAGGGAAAACAAAATTTAAGAATATTTTCTTTAGTTATCCTAACAGTGATTACCACACATGAGAATATGCTTTTCACAAGGAATCTTCTTTCTCCCTCTCCAGTGAAGAGAAAACACAAGAAGCTCCTGGTGCAGAGCCCCAGTGAGGATGTTAAACACCTAGTATGCTATAAAACACCACCAGCTTCAGCCAGGCACAAACAGTAGTATTGTGTATTGGCTGCTCCTCTGTCCCTGCCAATCTACATGAGGAAAAAGAAAAGCAAAACTTGGAGACAAATGCTCCCTCAACAGAAGCAGCACTCTAACAGCAACCCGAATCAAGGTGAATGGAGAAATGCGAAGTCATTCCATAAACACATTTTGAATATTTTTAAAGTGTACTTTAAAGAGTACTTTATAAATTTTTTATTTTCTATTTTTGTATTTTGAGCCAGGCTCCAGGGTTGCTTCCAGAGAAGCACAAAGGTTCTCTCCCACAGAAGCCCAATGACACTCACAGGATCATATATGTGATAAAACCCAGATACCCTGTTTATAACGCATATGCTCAGGTCACTAAACTATCTCCTAGATTCTATATTTGAAAATACCTTGTAATAAAGCTAATTAGATTTTTCTATATAAATAATTCTAATACATGTTACATAATCTGATACGTATGAAAAGTCATTACCTGTTTTTTTAAGTTATCATTCAATTCTTTCAATGCATCAAAAGAAGACCTCAGCCTCTTGTTTTCTTTATTTTTCTCTTTCAGAACTTCAGCTAAATGTTGAACTTCTGCATCATGTTGCTAGAAGAGAAAAAATATGATATGAAAACTAGATAAGAACTCCATGTCACTCTCATTAGTTAATTAAATCCAAAATTTACTTAATAAAAATTAATTAAAAACTAATATTTCTTGAATCATGAGAAAATTAACAGGCGTATTTAATCACATAAGACAAATTTTAAATCAATTTATAAAGAAATATCAATCAAACTAATGACAAACCATTCAAGGTATCTGTTAACTATGTATTAAAATATTTTAAATGAAGTGACAGTAAGGCTACTTTTTGCTTCTGGTCAGAAAATACCACCCACATAAATTCACAGATATAATTTGTATTTGTCATCATAGATACAGGTTTTATGAATTACATATCATAGAAATTATAGACATTAAGAAATGGGAGAGTCATAATGAAACATCATGAAATGGAGAATTTTGGATATTTTCTACGTAACTTGTTATTCATAGCTTTGAGATTAAAACTTAAGGTTATCCTTGAAAAAAAATAGTACACAGACAGAAGATACTAATTTATTATAGTTATTTCTATATCTCAGAGAAGCAAATGGATAATAAAATTTCTGTGAGCCCCAAACTATGACTCTCTTTAATTTTGTTTATAAATTATTCAAGTCAACTGCCCCTCCATTTTATTTAAAAGAGTCACCATGTTTTCAGATGTGAGTAGTTATTTTATGTTTTAGTCTTCACTTATTAGTACCATATTAAGAGGGCCAAGGAAATAGCTCAAAGATCTTGAGCACATGCGTTGCATGCTGGAGCCTAGGGTTTGATCCCTAACACTGCATGATCCCCAAATACCATTAAGAATTACCCAAGAGCACTTATTCAAAATATTCACTTACACTGTTGGGTATGTCCCAAGTAATAATAATGGCAACAACAACATACCCAATGGGAAATCAAGAAACTGAATATTCTTCTAAGCTCCCCAAGAGAACGTCCTGTTTTATCTATGTAAATGATCTATGTAAGTTTCCAGATGTTTTATCTATGCAAATAATCACACCTAGATCCTATACCTCAACTCGCCTCAGATGTTCTATAAGTATGCTACAGCTCTGCATTAAAGGATCCATTTTTTATCATAATATGAGACTAACGATACTAACGATAACGATACTAACTATCCTCGCCAGGGCCCAACAGCTGAAGACCTCCAGGCCCCAACCAAGGCCTTACTGGGACCACTCTCCACACACTTGGATAAGCCTCAGACATAACAGAACTGCAGAGGAACCCAGGTGTGTGGGACCCGGGGCTGAGATCTCCAAGCCTGCACGGTTTGGGACTGGACCTGTCAGTAGCTAGACAGTTACACCCTCCAACTGCCGTGTAACCCCAACAACGGCCAGGATCCAGAGATTATCACAACAAGCTCCCGGGAGAGCACAAGGCAGAGTCTCCTACCCTGTGTCTGACTATCCTCGCCAGGGCCCAACAGCTGAAGACCTCCAGGCCCCAACCAAGGCCTTACTGGGACCACTCTCCACACACTTGGATAAGCCTCAGACATAACAGAACTGGCAGAGGAACCCAGGTGTGTGGGACCCGGGGCTGAGATCTCCAAGCCTGCACGGTTTGGGACTGGACCTGTCAGTAGCTAGACAGTTACACCCTCCAACTGCCATGTAAACCCAACAACGGCCAGGATCCAGAGATTATCACAACAAGCTCCCGGGAGCTCCCGGGGAATGCGGCCACGCGACTATTTATTTACTTTTCTCTAAGTTTTCAGGGTACCTTAAATATCCTTAAATATCCAACCCGCACGGCAGAGCCTGGCAAGCTATCCATAGTCTATGCCAAATAGACCAAATTGATATGCCAAATCCAGTAATAAATGGATCTCATTTCCCTAACCCTGAATATGCAGAGTCGAGAAGGATATGGAAGGAGAGGCTGATAAAACACCAAGGCAGACATAGGCTGCCAAAACGCAGAAAAACAAAAATGATTGTCTGTACTTTTAATGCTCGTACGCTGGCATCTGCTGCATCCATTGAAGACCTTATGGTACAGCACGAAAGATCAAGTACGACATCATTGGTCTGACCGAAATGAGAAGACATCAATCCCATCATGCTGTTTTCGACACTGGAGAAGAACTGTTCCTTGGAACATGTGATAAAAGAGGCGTCGGTGGTGTCGGTATCCTTGTCAACACAAACCTAGTCACGAGCATTGATTCATGTGAATGCCTAACAACCCGAATCAGACGATTACACTTGAATAAATGTGGCTCACTACCGGCAGTTTCTATCTTTGTTGTCTATGCACCAACATCCAGTTATGGTGAAAGAGAAACTGAGAAATTCTACATGGAGCTGGAGAAGTTCTATAAAGAAGATCACACCTTCTACAAGATCATTGTCGGTGATTTTAATGCCAAGATAGGACCAAGAAGATCAGTCGATGAACTCCACATCGGAACCCATGGCCTGGAATGGAACGAACAGGGTGACAGACTGTCTGAGTTCATCATGTCAACCAAAACCTTCCATGGTAACTCACAATTCCAAAAGGCTGAATCTAAACGTTGGATATGGGAGTCTCCCGATGGACGGTTCCACAATGAAATAGACCACATCATTTTCAATCGGCGGTTTTGCCTAGCCGATGTTGCTGTTGTCCCAAAATTCCAAACGGGATCAGACCACCGTCTTCTTCGTGCAAAATTCTACCTCACAGAACGAGGAGAAAAGAATGCAAGGTTTAAGAAGAGGACTCCCAGAACAACCACCAACTGGGAGCTCTTTGGCTCTGTTGCGGCAACATGGGAAGATGCCGTCATTGACAACATTGATGAGGAATACGATCGAATGATTCAGCACCTCCATGATTGTGCAAGGAATGCCAAGAGAGAGATAACCACAAAAAACCGTCTTTCTTCGAACACTCTTGAACTTATTCGCCAACGTGGCTTGGCACGTGCCTCAGGCAACCACAAGCGAACGTCCGAACTGGCAAAACAGTGCAGAGAAGCCATCAAGGATGACCTCAAAAACAGGAGAGCAGCAGTACTGGTAGATGCAGCAGAAGCTGGGAAAAACATTCGTAATGCCCGCCTGTCCTTCACCAACTACAAAACCAAGATGACTGCCCTCCGACATCATGATGGATCTATCACATCTTCCAGAAGGGCAATGGAGAAGATTATTCATGACTTCTACTCAGATCTCTTTAATAGCCACATCCACTTGCCCACATACCACATACCGCATGATGGATATGTCGTTCCCAATGTTCTCCCTTCCGAAATCCAACATGCCATCTCGTCGGTAAAGAAACAAAGAGCACCTGGCCCAGACAAGATCAGACCTGAACACCTGAAGAACTTACCATCAGTACTCATCAATACATTGGCTCGACTCTTCACACGCTACCTGTCTGAATGCAAGGTTCCATCCCAATGGAAAACCAGCAGGACTGTACTACTATAAAAGAAAGGAGACATCCACGACATTGGCAACTATCGCCCAATCTGCCTATTGTCTGTCATCTACAAACTATTCACTCGAGTCATCCTGAATAGGATTAGCAGAACACTAGATGAAGGACAACCATGTGAACAAGCTGGATTCCGAAAAGGATTCAGTACCATCGACCATATCCACACAATAACCAAGCTCATTGAGGTATCTCGGGAGTTCAAGATGCCACTCTGTCTAACGTTCATTGATTTAAAGAAGGCCTTTGATTCTGTTGAGACGGAAGCGGTCATGGAAGCCCTAGCCAATCAGGGCGTACAAACTCAATACATCAGGATCCTTCGTGAGCTCTATTGCGGATTCACTACCAAGATCTCACCATTCTACAAAGAAGTAATCATCCATATCAAGAGAGGGGTTCGGCAGGGTGATACCATTTCACCAAAACTCTTCAGTGCCACCCTCGAGAACATCATGCGACGACTGGAATGGGAAAACATGGGAGTGAAGATAGATGGTCGGCAACTACACCACCTCTGCTTTGCTGATGACATCGTTCTAATAATACCAAACATCAGCCAAGCGGCACAAATGCTGGCCGACTTTGACCGTGAATGTGGAAAGGTCGGACTACAGCTGAATCTTACGAAGACAATGTTTATGAGAAACAGCCTTGTTCCTGACGCTCCATTCGCTCTCAACAGAACCACCATCTCCGAATGCAACAGTTATATATACCTAGGTCGAGAAATCAACATGATGAATGACCTGGCACCTGAGTTGCGCAGGAGGAAGAGAGCGGCTTGGAATGCCTTCAAGAGCATTGAAGAAATAACTAAAAGGACAAAGAACCTCCAGCTACGAGCACATCTCTTTGATTCCACTATTCTTCCTGCATTAACATATGCCTCAGAAACCTGGACCCTACGAAAACAGGATGAGAACACTATTCGGGTCTCTCAAAGAGGAATCGAAAGAACTATACTTGGAATATCACGATTCACTCAAATGAGAGATAGAATCCAGAGTTCTGATCTTCGTCAACGCTCAAGAATCAGGGATGCTGTCTCATTTGCCAAGACATCAAAAATCAGATGGGCTGGACACGTAATGAGGTTTACAGACAACCGCTGGACTAGGGCCATTACTGATTGGATTCCACGAGACATCAAAAGATCACGTGGACGCCCACCTATAAGATGGTCAGGCTTCTTCGTCAAGACCCTAAATGATCGGTTTGAGGCTCTGCATGTTCCTAAAACGAACAGATACCATTGGGCTACGCTAGCACGCAACCGGGATGAATGGAGACGTTACTGGCACCTGCTCGAATAAATCGATGAATAACGGGGATTAAGTGATTAAGTGATGAGACTAACACCCAAAGATAGTAGAGACAGGGCCAAGAAGATTGCTTCATAGTTGGAAGCCTGCCTTATGATCTGAGGAAGAAGGAAGCTGGGATAGAGAAGGTATCACTAAGTCAATGATGGTTGGAGGGATCACGCAGGATGGGAGATGTGTGCTAAAAAGTAGATAGAGGAACAAACATGATGGCCTCTC